GCTGCAGCCTTGGGAGATGTTTAGCTGATTATCACATCTACTAGATGGAGATGAAACATTGGGTTTAGATTGATGTCAATGGGATATATAGTCAACCGTGTTTTTCCAACATATTCACTGTTATTAGGAAATATTAACATCACTATGTATGAGTTCAGATTTAATGTAACTTACCATGACTGTAACTTCACTAATTGTGCATCTGACATTGTACAAGGAATTTCTGTTATGGTACTTCATCAACCTCCATTTGTTATGCTTCCAGTCAATGTTTCAGAACCTTGGTATGCAGATAGAGTCTTTAAGTGTTGGATTAAATTTAAAAAGCTTTGAGTAGACTTAAGAGAATGGTCAAATTAATTATTGCTGGAATCTTACTATAGTATCTATTATACTCACTGCTACTACAGAAGTTTTAGGAATGTCTCAATCTGTTTAAACTGCTCCTTTTGTTACTGCTTTTTCTAATAATGTCACCTTAGCCTTAGGGATGCAGAAAGATATAAATAGTAAGCTAGAACAAAAGGCAAATGTGTTATAAGAAGTAGTGCAGTATCTGGAGACTTTCAGTTCATGGGATGCAAGTGTGGTCACATTTAGAATGTCATGTAGATTACCAATGGATTTACACTACCCCTAAAATGCATTATGACAGTCAACAAGGTTGGGATCAGGTACGTTTGCATCTTAAAAGTATTTGGTATGATACTAATGTTTCCTTGGATATAAATCAATTGCATCAGAAAATTTTGAATCTAAAAAAAATGCTAAACTGTGGCAATTTGATGCTGCAAATGTTGCCTCTGAATGGTTAGAGCAATTAAGAAAGAGCATGCCTTCTTGGTCTTTGTTTACTCATTTGGTCATTTCAGTACTTGCCTTGGGTACTCTAATAGTAATAGGGTTATTGCTGTTATCACTTCTGGTTAAGTGTGCCCTCTGTTCCTTTTTGAACATCTGTGCAGTACTTCATAATATATAGCTCAAAACTGTAACCTAATGGGTTACATCCTCCATTGCAGAAGCTGATAGTCAAACACATATAACAGTTTCTCAGAGGTGAATCAACCTAACACAGATCATGAATGCCAGGATTCACACACCAATTACAGGTAAGGAAGACACTTCTCTAGGGGATGCCTAAGCTTTATACAAGTGAAGGCAGAATGAACCAGACAATGAGTCGGAAGAATAAAACATGTTGCCAGAATTAGTTTGAGGTCAGGCAGAGCAATTTAGTCAGAAGCCAAGAGAAGTCAGTGTGAATCAGTCAGGTTGAAGAGGAGTTTAGACCAGAACAACTGAGTTGAATCAGCCAGTGAGAGTTCAGAAAGAGCTAGAAAGGCTTGGGAATGGCTATCATCTCATTTCCTCTTTGGAGGAAATAAAAGCAACATTTACAGAGAAAACTATTAATAAATCACCACAAACCTCCATGAATGACCACTAACCTCCATCTATTGGAGACCTAACATTTAGGTATCCTGTGAAAAATTTCCAGAATTCCAAATGTCATATAATTGTAGAATATATATGTAGGTGGCAAGATCATTCCCCTTCCAGGGCAGAAATCATAATCTTTTTGGTCTGACCCCAACATCCAGAATAGCTGTAGCTATTTTGTTCCATGCCTGGGAGCTATTTTACATTGCTGCTGTAACAAGCCTGTCAGTCATTGACACAGAAATGTAACTTGGCTCAAGGACATGCTGATCATATAACCTGTTTTGTTCTTTATGTTCTACCTCTTCTGTATGAGGTTTGCTTATCTTAAGAAATTCCACAAAGCTTCACTTAGGACCTAAAAATGTCAAATGTCAGTATAAATTGTTATGTCTGAAATGGCTTGAGTCAGAGTTGACCACCAGGCAGCCCTTCCTGCACCTATTTATAGGCTCACTGTGGTTTTGAAGTTGACACTGAAGAGTCGTACTAATAAGCCAGAAAGTTATGCTTACAATACTCATGCTCCATTATCTCAATGCTCTGTACCCCACCCATTCTCCCCTCCACTCACTTTACTCAGGACCAATCAACTTAAAGGTCAGCTGGTAATACTTTGTCTACTAAGCCTATTGCTCCCCTTTGCCCTTTAAACTTTTGAACCCCCCTCTCTCTGTCTCTGTCTCTGTCTCTATCTCTATCTAATCTCTATCTTTATCATCTATCTATATTCTACCCTGAGAGCAGACAAGAACAGCACTTAGGCTTCCTAGTCATTTTATGGTCTTGAACATACAGTATTAGGTGTGCATACAGTAAACTACTTTTGCTTAGCTGAGATCAGTGTTTGCTTCATTTGAGTGGCAATTACTGAACTCTAACAATGGTCAGCTGCTGCACAGCTGCTTGATATCCTCACACCTGTGTTTAAAACAAAAGTATAATGGCCGGTCTCATCAGATTGTCCTTCTGCTTTTTCAGCTTTTCTCTCACATATTCACCCCCTGGCACAGTCTCTTCCTTCTTTCTTCCTTCAGGAAATTCCAATTGTTTGGCTCACAGGACAGGCCTGACCCTTTTGTTTTCCCTTTTAGATGCTCCTCGCTACTCTAAGCTTCCATCTCCTCACACAGTTTTTCTAATTGCACAGCCAGCTTTATAATCTTTTCAGAAACAAGGGAGTAGACTGACCCCCCTTTCCCCCCTCTTCTTTATTTTTGTTTTTTATGCTCCTCCATTTCTAGTCCCAATTTTTACAACTCCTAAGCCAGTTTTTCAAAATATTTTTTGAAACAAAATATATGAAGAAGGAAAAGAAAAAAACAGAAAAAGCCTCTGGGAGTAAAGTGGGGATATCCCAGCAGTAGCAGCTGTAATAAACATTTTGCTGGCCTCTAAAAACAAAATATCTGTATCTTCCTGCCCCTGACATTTCTTTTATGGCATTTAAATTCAATTTCCTAGTTTCTGTTCTTAAATTTTGATTCTCCAGGCTAAGGCACCACTTGTTGCCCGTCATCACGATGTTTTGGGTTCTATTTTTCCCACTCATTATCTCTGCTCCCCATCATTTCACCCCTATATCTAGATAGTAGAAAAAGAAAGATAGATGGAAATAAGAGAAAGATAGAGTTCCTTGAATCTAATTTCTTTCTTGTTTCTTCTTTGAGTGTGACTACTAATAGACTGTAACTCCATCCGACATCCCATAATCACCAACCAGCAACCCAGCCTATGGCGGCTCTAGAATTTACATACTCTCTGAAAAGTTCCCAGAATTCCAAACATGACACAATTGTAGAAACTGTCTGCAACAGGAATAAGCACGCCATCACCAGAGCATGAGGTTAATCAGTTAGCTGCTATGGAAAGCATGAAGCAACCACATATTCCCACATTTGGGCTTAAAATGAAAATATACTATTATATTTCCGTGCTTCTACAAGGAACCAAATTTCAAAATTCTTCTACAAGTTTCCTTGCAGAGGGTAGACCAGACTTGGGTAAAGAGTGTACATGATGGAAAGCTCAGTGTGGGACATTACTGTCCACTCAGGTAAGGAGAGTATTCTTGCCTGGTTTTGGATTAACTGGCATTGGGTATTAGCAGTCAAGTAGGATGAGCAGAATGTCTATGCAGAAGGCAGAAATGGTGTGAGTTTCAGAGAATGGCTAGGTAAGGATGCTGTCTGCCTGGTGGGATATCACCACTGGTGGTGTGGCCACTCAATACTGTCCAGGGTGATGAGGGCTTCTGCTCATCAAGATGATCTTGGTCAAGTGCTAAAACCCCGGGGGTGGCTGAATGGAATCTCACCAGAGTTCAGCACCAGAAGTCAGAGCACAAGTTTGGTGAAGGAGGCTTTCCTCAGCCAGGGTGTCAGAATTTAAGCAAGGTATCTGGTCTTGTGTGGGAACATCCAGCCTAAGGGAGGAAGGTATTACTTTAGAGTACATAGGCTTTACCTGAGGTTTGGAGTCCATCCAGAAGGCACAAACATCTTAGTGAAGAGTGATCAATGTGGGTAGAAGATGGGTAGCATCCAAGAGATCACATGGGAGTTTGAGATAGAGATTAGAATAGGTTTGTTTTTCCTCATAGATGTGGTTAGAAATGCTAAATTTGGGAAATAAAATGAAACCTGTGGCTTTATATTAAAATCAGTGTAATAGTGTGAACCCAAGGTTTTTAATATGTTTGGATATAAAAGCAAGAGAATCCCAATAAGCAAACTGTGTGTGTGTGTGTGTGTTACTTATATATGCACACACTGTTTGTTTATTATGTTTAGGAACATAGAAGTAGGTAGAGGATATTCTAAGAAGTGAACTATTTGGAAGAAGTGAAGGTTGAGCATGTGGCTATGAGCTGGAAGATATTTGTGGGACTCAAATCATCCCATCCTCTCCAACTAATGGGAGTGTCCCCTCTTGTACGCTTTGATCCATTTAGTTCTCCCAACTATTCTCAACAGTGCAGTAAACACTTAGAGCTTGTGCTGAGGAGTGCAGGGATTAAGGGAAGAGAGGCACAAGGGAGGACAGTGTCCTCCCACAGCTACTAACCAGAGCTGTTTCAGGAGCTCTGGATGTGGCCAGTAGTAAAGTGAGTGGGGAGTCCCCACGCAGCTAGTCATGAACCTGTGGCCGGAGGCACAGTGCTCAGAGAAACAGCTTCAGAAGAAACAGGATGTGAGCTTTGCCTTCCCCACACTGTAGGCAGCTGAGAGAAAAGTGGGAGCCCATACAATGGCGAGGGCCCATGGTCCTCTAGAGTGTGGTATCACAATTTGCCTGTTCAGTCAAAATAAGTGTTGTGCCTTAAGTGTTTGCTCATGTTGTCTGGTTTGCCTGAAACCACATTTGCTTATAGAAGTACACAAATTTATGTTTTCTGTGAGTGTCTTATGACAGAGTTCTCTAATAGCATGGTTCCTCTTTCCCCTACTTCTTATTTCTTTCCTTCCTCCTTTGAGTTCCCACTTTATAGTACTTGCATATTGCACTGTGTGTGTTTGAGGACTACAATTCTTTTTTTCTTGTATTAACAGGTTGCATCCTCTTTGTGAGGCCTTAGTGATTCCGTGCTATGGTTTCTTGTTCTCATGTGGTTTATCCTAGTGAGACATGCCTCTTCTTTCTTACAGTTGTACAATATGACAACTTATTGCAGTTATTGACTCTTACATAGCACAGTGCCTTAGGGAGGGTAGAAGGTGCTCTTTTTTATAGAGGCAGGTCTTTTGTTGATATGGCTTCAGAAATCACTTATGCAGAAGTGAAGTTCAAGAATGAATCCAACTCCTTGGGCACCTACTCAGAATCTCAGGTAAAAACAAAACAATAAACCCTTTCTATACTTAATGAAGATGGGAGGAATAAGGAATGGTCATTTGCAAAGTTGGGTGGTATTTGTGACCGATTCTTTGAGTTCTCTCATCTGGTATTTTACGGGAGTCTCAGATATTTAAACTGTAGATTGACTTTAAGGGCTGTAGAGTTGTATAGTGGTTAGGAAAAGCTTTCTTGGCATGGTTTTTGCTTTTGTCATTTACAGAGTCTATAACTTGAATCTTGCTGCATTTCATGCTCTATATAAATTAGCATAAATCTAAATATTTTTTGAAAATGAAATCATTTTTTTATTAGTGAGCTTTTTTCCCTCTCTGCTTGACAGCATTTTGTAACTTCATGAAAAATGTTTTAGTGTTTGGAGATTTTATCCTTAAAGAACTTGTTTTCATTTATCCTATAGATCAGAGAAAAACCTCTCACTTGTTAGGCAGTTGTTCTACCATTAAACTGCATCTTCATGCAGCAAAGTTTTCAGATATTTGATGGTGGCTATCAGACTGATCTCATGCTAAAGCATGGACTATGATTATAAGTATTTATCTTTTGTTGTCTATTTGTCTTTAATATTTGGACAGTCTGGAAGTGATTTAAGCATGCAGTACTACAATCACAGTAAAAAACCCACCATGATAATGTAGTGACCTGGAAATATATTTACAATACTGATGTAAAGAAAATTTGTAGGTTGGGTGACAGTATTTATGTTGTGTTATCATGTGGGAAATGATATTATATATACATACTTTAACACTTGCTGAAAGGGCCACATGTTGTCTAATTCTAGAACTTGGAAGGCAGAGACAGGAGGATCATTTAGGATTTGAGCCCAGCCTGGTTTACATAATGTCTTGCAGATAATCCCCAGTACTACACAGTGAGATATTATTAGCTCATTCCATTTCCTTTCACACACACACAAAATCTCCATGAATGGATATGAACCAAATATTTAAATATATACATTTAAAGTAGATTTCAGATCTCAAAATATTAACACCAGGTATTTAAACAGTGTAAGTTTGTGCTTTTTTATTATTTTAAATGTTCTTGCTCTTAGTAATTATGTGTCATGGAGGAAAGTGAAGAAGATGAAGGTGGAAAAGAAGAAACAAGGATGGAGCTTACTTCTCATGAAATGAATGTGCTTCTCCTTCTAGCTCCCAGAAAGAAACACATCCGTCATTTAAGTAAGCCTGGTTCCCCCTTACTTCCTTTTACATCCCTGATGATACTTCTTCTGCTGCTGGCAATCACATTCTTAGTTGCTTTTATCAGTAAGTATTCCAGATGAATCAATAGGCCATCTCTTCCTTAGATGAAGCTAGGTTCCACTGTAGCAGTTGTCATTTAATGGAAATATGAAGAAGTAATATTCTTTGGGGAAAAATAATTCAAAGGATTGCATTGTGACTTTACATTTGTCCTTGAATTTAACTGTTGTCTGGGGGAAAATGGAATATATTCTCAGTAGGGAAACTGAATCACATGTATGAGTGTTTGTGTGGGGCTGTGGAGTGAACTCTGTGGACTGTTGTCTTTATTAGACTGGGAGGTCAAATCTACATTTTCTCATTGGCATCAAGATGTCAAGCTGTATGTGTATAGGGCTCCTTCATCTAGTGTGAGCTTGTGGACAAGAAAGAGTTAGTAAGAAATTATCTAAGAAGAGTAGATGTTTGGCTAGCTAGAGATAGATAATCACAAATGAATTTGCATAGTTGATGGCCCAGGGGCAGGAGAGACCATTCTGAGTCCCCCCCCCCAAAATAAAAGAATGGTGAGGAAGAGGACAAGCCAGAGACAGGGTGAATCCCAGAAAGAGCAGAAAAGCTATCTTTGAGCTGTTGTGCTCAGCTATATCCCTCTTCCCAACCACCACTGTCATACATATGCCATGCTCCCTATGACATGTGCGCTTGCACTGAAATCCTTAAGCTGCCTCAGACATAAACATTTAGAGAACATTGTCAGCTCATATCAGAAGTGAGGCAGGTAAATCCTGGAGTTCATACTGCTTAGCACCTTCAAGGTCTAATCATGTGTGTTGAAACCCAAAGCCTCTGAGACAACATACATGACCAGGGTAGCATCCTTCTCTGTCCTTGTCTACAGAGACTCCTTTAACCTGCAGTAATCTAGAGGATGAAGGGCTTCAACTCGTCCCAGGAATGAACACATTGTAAATCTCATAGTGCCTCCTCCTGGCATTCTTTACCACTCAAAATCAAATTAAATAGCTCCCAGAAAAGGAGCTGCAGGCTTGTCAATACCTGGTCTCTGTCAAACTAATAATCAGAGATTCTTTACATTTGTTCTGCCATTGAGGAATTCCAAGGCTCCAGCTAGTAAGGCATACTCCTGGAAGGCCCAGCTCAAGCCTATTTCTTCCAGGAGATTCCCCAACTCTACCCAGAACTCACTGTGCCTTCCCCAGAATGATTTCATTCTTCCGTTTTTACAAGACTGGAGGCCAGCTTCCTTCTTGTTAGGTGTGGTCTCTCCTTGATCTCCATTCGCTCTCCGAAATACTCTAAACAGCCTGGAAAACATGTTTGTTTGTGAACCCAAAAGGCACTGAAGAAATATCCCACAGGCAGTTGTTATCACCACAACACAGGAGGCATCACAGAGGATTCTAATTCTTTCCTAGATACAAGAGATTGTCCAAGGAGGGCATTCCACTGATGATGTCACTTGGAACTGCCATGACCTGCCTGCTAACTAGCTGTCTCCAAATTGTCCAATTTCTGGGGTGTCTTTTCCTGGAGCCTCTTATGTGACCCAGGGAATAGCCTTTGACAACCTCTCCATGCAATGCTAGAGATTTCTCTCTGCTTCATGACCAGTGAAGTGCTTTGGAAGGGGAGAGTTGGTTAGCACCCTGACATGGATAAGAGATTTTTGTTAGCACCCAAACCTCAAGGGACCATGGATATGGGAAATTGTTCTCAATGATAAGTATGTCACCTGAGTCAATTCATGTGACATACAGTCCACTGCCCCAGTTTCTCCCTGTATCCCAGGGGCCAATATCATTCTTCTATACCTTAAATTGTATAAAACATAGATAACATTTTCTTATTATCCAGTATGTGGAGGCAGGGGTTTGTTTAATTCACATGTTAAGTCTTTGACTCACTGTTAGTCTCAGAAATCACATCTGAAGCAGGGGAACTTCACAAGAATGAAGCTTCCACTGGAAGAAATACTTCCTCAATACACTCTGACATCTACTTTGCTTAAAGAACAACATCAACTGTTGCATGCTTTCCCTTCCTAGGTTTGTGGTGATATGCCCTCCACCAGAGGCATAGGACCTCTGCTTCAGGCTCCATCCAGGCAGGATAGTCTGAAGCTTCATCCCAACACTGCTCAGCTGACTTTCAATGGGGATTCCTTCCCTCACCTCTGCCCCCAAGAGGATCTTCTCAATTTGGCATTTCATCAGTAGGCATTTCATGCCTAATCGGACTGGTTATCCTAGATGAGAGGTAACAGACCTCCTCCAAACATGACAATATGGCATTCTAGGGCATCATCTTGAACCCACAAGAGTACTGCATGGGTGCCTGGTAACCTATATTAACTAGCATGCCATCTTCATGCACCTGTACCTAAAGGTCTCCATTAATTTTTATCTTTGGTTTGGGGTAATCTCTTTCAATTAAAAAACACACAAGTCTGGAAGGACAAAGATCAAATGTAGGCACTGCAGAGAAGGCTCTTCCATTAAGAGCATTTGTCTATCCACAAGAGGACCCAGAGGGCAGTTAACAATCCCATTAGCCTGTCTCTAACTTGAAGGCCATGCCCTCTTCTGGCCTCGGGAGGAATTGCATGCATGTGGTTCCCAGACATCCAGCAGGGAAAGATACATGGAAAGAAAAGAAAACAAACAACAACCCTCAAAAACCAAGCAACACCCTAAAAGCTCCAAATGGAAAACCACACTAATATTACCTAAAAATAAAGCCAGGTCTCAACATGTCTGGGAATTCTCAATATGGAAATTTGAAACAAAACCCAAACCAAATTCAAACAAACAAACAAACAAGTTGAGCAGTATTCTCTTGCTGCAATTTAGCAGCACTGAACTAAACCATGTGGCCAGCATTGAAGACAGGGTAGAAAGGCAGTTCCAGAAGGAATAGCCTATGAAGACAATGGTTCCTATGTCTCTTTAGGGGCTTTTATGTGAAGACTTCTCAAGGCAAAGGATGAAATGTATTATAAAATTTAGCTCAAAGACTTTTAACTTTAGTTAACTCATGTCCATTAAAGATTATCGCATGACAGATCAAAACTAGTATTACTTTTTAGTCTTGAACTTTTTCTCCTGAATGCTGAACAGCTGTGTATGTCCTTCTACTTTCTCTGAAGCCCTGCCTGGTGCAAGCTCAGCAAGAGGGGAATCCCGCACACCTCTGTGGAGAAACACACTTGCCCTGCCTATCTGGACACTCTTGTTAACTCTGCTCAAGTATTTCTACTCCTAAGAAGATGAACATCTTCTTGATGTACACCAATAATTTTGTAACATTATATATTATATAATATAATATAAACAAAATAACAGAGAATATAATTTCTAGCATCCTTAGTGTTCTTGTCACATTGTCCTGGATACCTGAAGCTCCCCTCCTGTTTTTCTGACACACACTGCACACAGCAGCACTGACCTGGATATGATATTGCTTCTGTGGCTGTGAAATGACTTTTGAGCCTAATTCACTTAAAGCTTTGTTCATTTCCAAGTAGACACTTTTTACACTAGTTGCAAATAGCGAAGTTTCTTAGTTTCTCTGCTTGAAGTATGATAGCAGCTCTTACTGTCCTCACACAGGTATGTCTAATATTGACCTGGTCCAGACCTATAACATTGAGAAATGAATGACGGCCGTTAAACAGTTGCAGATGCAGCAGTAGAATTCTCTGAAATGCTGCTATTTTACAGAAAGATTTACAATTACATTTTTCAGATCATCCCTCTGAAACACTATTATGTCATCATTTGTCAAAGGCTTTTCAAGAGTGGAGTAGGGATCCTAAGTTCTCTCTGTGACATTGGGTTTAACTTAATTGTGGGTGATACACTGCATATCCCGGACACATCCTTCATGCCACATACAATGGACAGCATGTATCTAGAAGGGTCCACAGTATCTCATGCTTCATAAGTTTAGGAGCACACATCTTGAAAGATAGCACAACCTCCTCGCTTATACACTTTGTTAGCACACCACATCACCCCCAACTTGAACCACTGGCAGATATCCTTGTGTCTAAGGTCAACCACATACTGTCTGTCATTATTGTTTCCAGTGGGATTCCTGGATGCATGGTAAATCATTTATAGTGTCCTTAGGTTCTGTTTTCCACCAAGATTCAACAGGTGTTGATTATTGTGGGAAGTTGAATTTGTCGTTCACATTGATATTTTGGCCATCTGAGGCTCATGTACAAATCTCATCAGCTGCAGGTACAACACTGGTTGAAAGCTCAGGTCATTCTCCCTGAAGGTCATGTTTGTTGTCATTGTACTGTCACATGATTCACAAGTGAATCCCATATATGACTCCTTTATTCTTAGCTGATCTCATCAGAATTTCTGGGTCAGGGAGGCAACATCTTTGCCCTGAATGTAGTATATCATGCTGCCTCTGGGTACTGTTGGAATGATGACTTCTGTGCACATGCCTTTAAGCTGATTTCACATTATCTAACAATACTCAACATAGTTCTTGAGTGTCAGGGAGTTACCTGAAATTTCCTAGCCAAATTATTGTTAGTTCCTACAGGGTTTAACATTGTGTAGTAATTCATAGAATACACTGTATTGAACTAAGGGATGCTTTTTGATAATTTATTGCTATCTTTTGGCATGATATATAAAGCATTTGCTAGCTTCTCTGTGAAGAAGAATTAAGTCTACAGAAAGCTATTCCTGTAATATGTTGACCACTGTGTGATACTTTCAGCCCATTATTTCATGACTGTGTGCTAATTTAAGATCCAATGAACCTATGGGATGATCTTCTGTCCAAAGAGTTCAAATGTGACTCAGAAGTCCTCTCTAAATCCTTTCCTGGACAAGTCAATGTCAATGACTCTAGCTTTTGCATCCAAGTGATGGGTAAATAGAAACAGGCAGCCATTGTCTGTCAATGAAAGAGCTGCTGACTGGGGT